TCCTGGCCTGATGATGTTGATCTTCTGTGCTGGGCCATCCTTTTGGCCAGTGGCTGTTTAGTTTCCCCGATGTAAGACTGATCACAGCCCTCCTGACACTGAACAGCATACACAATATTACTCTGTTTGTGCTGGGGGACTGGATCTTTGGGATGAACCAGTCTTTGCTGTGATGTATTTTGGGGTTTAAAAGCCACTGGGACGTTATGTTTAGAAAATAAACATCTCAGTTTCTCTGATACTCCCTCAACATACGGAATGACCACTGGTCTGGGTCTGGGTTCCTCCTTTTCACCTGATGGCTGACTGGAGTCCTGTTTGGGTTTCTTCTCTGCTTTCAGGAAGGCCCAGTTAGGATATCCACATTGCTCTAGAGCCTGTTTTGTGTAGGATTTCTCCTTCTGCCTGGCTCCTGAGTTTGACTCCCATCACCCTTTGGAGCACAAGTTAGGAGTCATCAGGACTCACAAGGCAGACAGCATCCCCACTAACTCAGGTGCCGCCCTGGAACAACCAGCTGCAGGGCCCACGGGGGAGACGACACAAGAAATGACGCTTTGCAGAGGATTTGTGTGTTCACAATGATGATATGAGTTTTAAAATAAAACGAAAACACCATTCAGAGAGTAACATGTCTTCTGATTCCAGCCTGACTGTCAGATCAAATGATCTCACAGAGACTTCTCTTCACACATCCTCCACACAAAATGAGCCGGTAACCTCAAAACAGGTTTTTAAAAGTCACCGCAGCTCGAGAAATCACACAAAATTCTCGCTTGACACATCAGCTAGAAATGATCTTTTTCAGCAGACCGAGACCAGAAAAGACCCTTGCTTTCAGCCCAGGCTGTTTTCTGACATTTCTGACCGTAGCGGGGACAAACGTGTTTCTTCACGGCATCTGCAGTCTCCACCCAAACGGCGTCACATTTCTAAAAGCGCTCACGCCTCTCAGTGCACGTTAGCTCACATCACCTATAATGTGAGCCTGCAGTCTGAGCACAGCACAGAGGCGTTCCCAGGGCCCTTTCTGGGAGGCCCCCCCTTGGGTCGCTCGAGGAGTATCTCCGGAGCAAGTGACAGCGGTGGGGGCTTTAATTTGGCTAACGTCTGTAAAAGACATGACACAACACAAAAACGTGTGCTCGCTCTCCGAGCATTACGCAGAGTTGCAGCGAGTGTGTTCCCTGGACAGATGGATAGACCGTCTGATCAGTAGGGGTTACACTTTGCAGTTTGCAGCTCAACCCCCACCGTTCAGAGGGATTATAGAGGCGGTTCTGTCATCTCCAAAACAGAACTCGTCTCTCCACTCAGAAGTTCAGGAACTACTGATAAAAAATTTAATTTCCAGGGTTCCCAGCAGAGAGGAAAACACAGGGTTTTACTCACGTTACTTCCTGGTCCCAAAAATGACCGGAGGAATGAGACCCATCCTCGACTTGTCCATGTTCAACAAATCGATCATGGAGAGACAATTCCACATGCTGACAACCTAACAGCTGTTGGACAACATTCACCAGAACAATTGGTTTACATCCATAGATCTAAAAGACACTTATTTTCACATACCAATCATTTCAAAGCACAGAAAGTTCCTTCACTTTTCCTTCCAGGGGACCCAGTACCAGTACAACAGGCTCCCGTTCGGTTATTCCCTTGCCCCACACACGTTTTCAAAATGCGTGGAGACGGCGCTGCAGCCGTTACACAGAGCAGGAATGATAATTATTTTCTACCTGGACAATCTGCTGCTGCTAACTCGATCCAGGCAGGAAGCAGCGGCACAAACCAAAGTGCTGACATCACACCTGCTGAACCTGGGTTTTGCCATGCACTGGGAAAAAAGGTTGGTTCTCCCGTCCTAGATGATAGTTTATCTGGGAGTGGAGCTAGACTCAGTCACTATGAGAGCCCACTTATCATAGCCGAGAGCCGGAGCTCTGACAGCTCAGCTCCGCCGTGTAAAACCCATCAGGGTAATAACGGCCGTCTCGATCATGAAACTTTTGAGTTGTCCTCTGCTCACACTGTGGTTCCTCTGGGCTTACTCCACATGAGGCGCCTTCAGAGATGGTTTGCCTGCCTGCACATAGATCTGGTGCGCCAGAATAGGTGGATGATCTCTGTGCCCCCCTCCGTGGGAACCGACCTGAATCACTGGGGAAATCCTCTCACTCTGTCAGAGGGAGTTCCTATCAGCAGGCCTACGTCACACGTCTCAGTTTTCACAGATGCGTCCCTGTCAGGCTGGGAAGGAACGTGCCTGTCGCAAGCGGTGGGGGCGCAGTGGCCGGCTCACACATCAGCTCATATAAACATCTTGGAATGTCTCACAGTTTCGAATGTGATTCAGCATTTTGCTCCTCTGCTGCGAAATCAACATGTTCTGATCCACACAGACAACAGAGTTACTACAGCTTACATAAACCGGCAGGGAGGTGTGCGCTCAGCCCAACTGTTACGCATTGCGAGACAGCTGCTGTGTTGGGCACACAAAACCCTGCTCTCCATCAGAACAGTGTACATCCCCGGCGTCCTGAACAGAGGAGCGGACATAATATCCAGGGGCGGTCCTCGCCATGGAGACTAGAGTCTCCATCCCGAGCTGACTTCTCGGATTTGGAGCAGGTTCGGCCGAGCAGCAGTGGATCTGTTCGCCACACGGGAAAACGTCCAGTGTCAATTATGGTTTTCACTGAGCCCACTGGACAACCCGCCGTTAGGAGTGGACGCTTTTGCCCACAGCCCGTGGCCAAAAATGCTCCTTTATGCGTTTCCTCCAATCCCTCTAATATTACGGTTTCTGAACCGAGTCCGGGAGGAAGAACTATCAGCCATTCTTGTAGCCCCCGAGCGTGTGAGCGCCCCATGGTTCTCAAACCTGCAACGTCTATTATCGGGCCAGCCGTGGAAACTGCCATGGAGGGACGATGCTCTCCTCCAGGTGGGAGGAGCGATCAGGAGTCACCCAGAAATAGGCCAGCACCTTTGGGTCTGGCCGCTGTTCGGATCCGCTTAGAGAAAATGGGTCTCTCTCAAGAAGTGGTGCGCACAATCCAAGACTCTCGAGCCGCTTCCACCACAGCGCTGTACACATCAAATTAGACAGCTTTTCAGTGTTGGTGCACGGAGAAAGGTGTAGAGGCCATCTCATGTCCACTAGGTGGCGTGCTGTCCTTTCTGCAGCAGCTGATGGACAGAAATTTAGCTTTCAGCACAATTAAAACTTATTCTGCGGCTATTTCATTCTGTCACGAGGGCTTCGGTGACAGAACAGTTTTTAATCACCCGCTGATGAAGCGTTTCCTAAAATGTGTACAGAGACACAGACTGGTGTCACGCCCACTAGCTCCACAGAGGGACCTAAAGATGGTTCTGCGAGCTCTGATCAAAGCTCCTTTCGAGCCTTTAGATCAGGTGTCACTTAAATTTCTGTCACTTAAAACAGGAGGATTGGAGCCTCCAGAGAATCTCAGAGCTCATTCTACCAGAGGAATTTCATCATCTACAGCTTTACATGGAGGAATGACAGTGGAGGACATTTGTAGGGCGGCCGCTTGGGTATCGCCTTGTTCATTTATTTGCTTCTATCTGCATGATGTGTCAGCTTTCTCCATGACCCATTCTGTTCTCAGTGTTCTAACAATGAATCTTACTTGTTTCATGGAATTTTCATTTAAACTTACATCTGACTGCATGGAATTACACTGTGAGACACTTATTACCGTCACAAGTTCATGACTGCTGTTTTTTATTGTTACTAATCAGTTCATGACTACTGTTACCAATCAGTTCATTTGATTACTAATCAGTTCATTTGTTATTGATCAGTTCATATTGAAGAGCTGTTGATTTGCTCTGCTCACTGTTGTTACACGGTTACAATTTGTAAACTCTGTTCTTTTCCATTCTCAGAGGCAGGTCTGCTTTCAGCCTCCCCTTTTTTCCCATCAGAAACCTTTTTTCTCTCCGGGGTGCTCCTGTGCATGAAACGCATAATTATGCGCTGTGTAATTACGCACACAGAAGGCTGAGTTGATGTAATGTTTTTGTTGGCGCAAGCAGGTGCTTCATATTGTGTCTGAATGGACCCAGTGAGGCATAGACTACATCCTGCTTCGCCTTTAACCCACTAGCGATAGTCTTAAAGGGCAAAGCCTATACGAATAGAACGTTGGTTATGTATTGTAACCCCAGATTCTATGAGTATAGGTGCAGCCCTTTAAGCTCTGGGCCTCACTGGTTCCTAAATGGCTGAAGAAAAAAGCTATTTGGGAGCCGATTACCTGGTCTCACCGTAATGTATACGGACCGGGGGTGAGGCCCACACAGCAGGTGGGCGTGGACTCAAGTTTTCAGTGCTGCGCTGCGCGTGAAAGAATAAACCCACTAGCGATAGCCTTAAAGGGCTGCACCTATACTCATAGAATCTGGGGTTACAATACGTAACCAACGTATTAGTAATTACCCCTTAAATGGAGCCACATTTATTAGAAAACATCAAAGTTCATGCTCAATAATCCAGGTAAAAAAATCCACAAAGTTCAGTCAGGCCATCCGGATGGTTTCTTTTTTTTGTTGTTGTTGAGATGTTTCATCCTTCATCCAAAGGACTTCATCGATCCGTGGCTTCTCAGATTGATGAAGTCCTTTGGATGAAGGATGAAACATCTCAACAAAAAATAGATGTTTGTGGCTCTTCGGATTAACTAAGTCGTTTGGATGAATGCATACATTTGATTTAATGACATTTTTTATGTAAATGTGCACATAGTGGCAGAAAGCTGTATCACTTTCAGTGAAACCTGGGGTAAAATATGGTAGAAATTTAGTATTTCAACTAAGGTAATTGTGCAGTGCAAAATCTATGATGACCTCAATGTTTTAATAATTGCAATTTCTTAAACTGAAATAAAAAATTTTTAGATTGGTCTTGTTTTAATATGGTAGCTTTAATCTTAGTTGCATTCTGAAAAGCTATTATTCCTCATACTGTTAGCAAGTCAGTCCTAAAAACTCCATAACTCTAAACTGAGTTCATTCAAAGGCCGATATACAAATAAGATATTTGTTTAGAACTTTTACACAGATCTCCACCTCAGAATGGTAGGAGTATCACCTAGAAGAAAGAATCACGTTTTTTTAATTTGCATTTTTTGTTTTGTGATTTTCTAAAACCAAGTTATAAAATAATTATATCTAAACACTGTAAACCACCTAATAGGCTATCACACCAAAATGCATAAACATGAAGACATTTATTTTATGTTGTGTTTTCACTCTGTTTTCAATCAGGACCCATGTGGGGAAGGGCTCAGGAAGTAACCGCTCCAGCAGCAGAGAGTGCTCTAGTTTGCCCCGACACGAGGACGCCCACCTCAGCAATGACAGCTTTCTCAATGGCAACATGTCTGCCGTCATGAACCTTAGCCCCACGCTGCATCCCAAGAGTTATCAGCCCCAGATCTTTAACCACTCCACTGCCTACAGCATGGACCTAGCCAGCAGCAACCTGCCTCATCTCCTCAGTACTGGTGAGGCCAAAAGCAAGGGGGACTTTGAGATGAACTTGGGCTCCAAGGTGTTGGATGGTCCTGGACCAAAGTACCTCAAATCTAACTTACGCTCACAGCACAACCACCACTCTTTTGTTGAAGGGAAGAACAACACACTTCAGTCGGGGGAGAAACACAGTCGGCATAGCCACATGGATTCCTACAATTCTGCACCTTCCTCTTCCAAGTTTGCCTACCTGAACTTATCTAAAAGTCATGGTACACTTAGTGACGCCAAGTCTGTAGGAAACTTAAATGATGTGCATCTGTATGTAGACGAACCTACATCTCGCTACTTTCCCTCCAGCTGCCTTGACCTCACAGCTCCTAGCAGCCCAGTATCTCGAAGAGTAGAAAGACTGGGACTTGGCACAGCCGGCCGAGGAAACATGCGCTCAGACAGAGAGAGTAACACTCTAGACTCCTCCTATAGGCGCTCCTCCACGCGCCATAAGACCTCAGAGGAGGCCAAGTCACCTGATGCCCTGGATCCCGGGGACAGCAACATCGAAAGGAGTCATCCTCACTCTCTGTCTGCCCCACGTGACCCTCTTTCTTATGGGCAGGGATACACCAGTCCCTTTTCCTCCCAGCAGCGGCCCCACCGTCACTCCATGTACGTAAGGAGGGATCAACAGAGGACACATGGGGTGGACGAGGACCTGTCAGTTGGACAGGGGTTGTCCACCAGAGCCAGCAGCCTTCAGCTCCTGTCTCCACAGCTGCAGCATCGCACTTTGCCACGGCTCACTGGGAGCTCCTCCAGAGAAGATGACATGAGCAGAGTCAGTGATCAGCCCACATCAAACCTTTTTAAAACCTAAGGAAAGCCTAAACCCACATATCTAATCATATCAGATGCCTACACCGGGCTGTGTTGGATAACTCTGCCTCAGTTTCAGTTTATCCAACAATGCAGCCAGGAATTATTCTTGTAGCATTTGAAAATAGTATAATTTATGCTTAGAATTTCAGCTGCATCTGGTGTCCCACTTAATTGGAAAGGCAGAAATAACATAATGTATTTGCATGTTGGCTGTCTTGTTAGGATGTACCATACCATACCATACCATTTTATTTATAAAGCACTTAAAACAGCGACAAGGCCAACCAAAGTGCTGTACAGACAGAATAACAGGTAACACACAAAGCAATATACAAAATGAAGTAAATCAGAATATAGACATAAAAATGATGCAGATAATGAATATGACGACTAACCTGTGTGAATCAAACAGGTTCAAAACAAAGATCATCTAGTGTTGAAATCTACTGAATAGTAGTGGGTTTTTAAACGGGATTTGAAAACTGGGGGGGAGGGGGGTGCTGTCTGACAAGCAGAGATAACTCGTTCCAAAGTCTTGGGCCTGCTACAGAGAAGGCCCTGTCACCTCTGCGCTTATGACGAGTTCCTGGAACTGTGAGGAGCAACTGGTCCGCTGACATACGGTTGTAGCAAATCAGAGAGATAGGTGGGGGGCGAAACTGTTCAGCGATTTGTAGACATACAGGAGTATTTTGAACTGGATTCTAAGGTGAACCGGTAACCAGCGCAGGGAGGCCAAAACTGGTGTAATGTGCTCTCTTTTGCCTGTACTGGTTAAAAATTGGGCTGCTGCATTCTGGACCAGTTGTAGTCGTGCAATGGAGGTCTGACTGATACCAAACAGGAGCACATTGCAGTAATCAAGCCTAGATGTAATGAATGCATGTATTACTGTCTCCAGGTTATTTTTGGATAATATGGGCTTCAGTTTAGACAGCCGCCTCAATTGGAAGAAACATGATTTAACAATCATGTTTACATGACTGTTAAGTTTCAGGGAAGGGTCCATTGTCACTCTTAGATTAGTGACTCTTTGTTTTTCTGACAGGGCTAGAGTGGAAAGGTCGATGCAGTGGTTTGTGATAGTGTCGTTGGGAGGGAACAACATGACTTCAGACTTCTTTTCATTGAAACTTAAGAAATTTAAAGCCATCCAATCCCTGATGTCAGCCAGGCAGTCGAGCAGAGGTTGAATAGAGCATTTACCATTGTGTCTTATGGGGAAGTAAATTTGACAGTCATCGGCGTAGAAGTGAAAGGGAATGTTGTGTTTCCGGAAAATAGCACTAAGCGGCAGCAGGTATAAAGAGAATAGGAGGGGACCCAGGATGGACCCCTGCAGAACCTCCCATTTAAGCTCTGCCGCTGCAGAACTAAAATCCTTGATGGAGACACAAAAGGATGTCAGCGAGGTAAGATCTGAACCAACTGAGGGCTGACCCTGTGATGCCCACCCACTGCTCCAACCTAGCAATGAGGATCTCATGGTCGATGGTGTCAAAGGCGGCTGTGAGGTCCAATAGGAAAAGCAGCACAGAATCATCTGTATCTGTGGATACGAAAATGTCATTCAAAACCTTCATTAGGGCAGTTTCAGTGCTGTGGAGAGGTTTAAAGCCAGATTGAAATAGCTCTAAGATAGTGTGACCCTCCAGGAAGCACTTCAACTGGGACTCAACTATTTTCTCCAGTATTTTAGAAACAAATGGGAGTTTGGAGACAGGCCGGAAGTTGCATACGACTGAGGGGTCAAGGTTTGGTTTTTTAGAAGAGGCTGGACAGCAGCATGTTTAAAGGTTTTTGGCACCACGCCAGTGGATAAACTACTATTTACAATAGCAAGAATGGATGGACCTAGAGTAGGACAAACCTCCTTTAGTAGTTGAGGGGGGACCACATCAAAGGGGGAACCAGAAGGTTTCAAGCTGCACATGACCTGCTCTAGAGAAGATAGAGTGATGAGTTCAAAATGGTCAAATAGAGCTACAGATTGAGGTGGGATGGATGGGTCACGAGTTGGAGGGGAAATGAGAGCCCGGGTTGGTTGCAATTTTTTCCATAAAGAAATGTAAGAAGTCCTCGCATAGCTCAGTCGAGGCTTCCAGAGGTGATGGTTCAGTGAGGTGGAGAACAGAGTTTAGGGTAGAGAAGAGGACACTTGGGTTGTGAGAGTTTGAGGTAATGATATCAGAGTCTTGTTAGGATGTAGGATAAAGCATGCTCTCTGTGTATTTATCAAACAAGGGGCCGAGATGGTGTATAGGCAGGGCAGCCGACTTGGGACCCAAAGGTCCTGGGTTCGATCCCCAGTCATTGCACATCTTGTGGTGTCTCTGAGCAGGACACCTTATCCCCAGTTGCTCCCTGGACGCTTTCAATAGCTGCCCACTGTTCCACCTGGTGGTGGATGGGTTAAAAGCAGAGAGCCAATTTCGCCATTGTATGGGAACATACAATGATGACAATACATAACACATTATTATTATTAAACACATTAGTGGTGCATATAACATATGATAACATACTCTATGAGTCCATGTGTGTCTGTACTTGTAAGTGTGCTGCCATGCACACCTACTCTTCATACATACTTCATGCTTCATCATGCCACCATTAACAGAGCGAGCAGGCAACCACTGAAGTCACCCATATCAGACCCCCAGTAAGGAACTCTAGAAGGGACAACGTTGCATCTTTTCACACATAGCAAAAAAACAGCAAGGTCTGACATTCTGCCTTCACCCACTATTCCCCCACCCACATCCAGCCTTCCGAGTGAGCGGATGTGGGTGGTTACTACTGTCATGAACTGCTCTCTGTCTCTCTTTTCTCCATCTGCCTCTCCATCACATGCCTCTTTAATTTCTGTGTGCTTTGCTTCCATCTACTGTGACTTTTTTATGATAGCAAAGTCAAGCTTGTCATTACAGCAGATTTCAGTTTATGAAAAATGGGTGTAACATTTGCAGATGCTTTATTATTATGAATAAGTCAAAACAGTAAATACAGTTTTTATTTTAGACAATGAAGCATGCACAGTATTGGGCCTCTGAGGTTTTTATATGAGTTCTTGTGTTGTGACTCAGGTTGGCTTATATCATGACCAACAAACAGAAGATGGAGGCTCCTCCAAAGAGAACCGCAACATCTACAGTGAATCCATGCCAAGGCGGGTGGGCAGCTTTTACAGAGGTTTGTTTAGTCAGGACTGAGATCCTCGACTGCATATTCCTATCACTGTTTTATAGAAATCAAAAACATGGTTCAAATCTGGATATTTTTGTGGAGTTTACTTCAGAAGAGAAAACTATTTTTCATCCATTACCTTTACCCGCTTCTTCTTTTTCGGGTTGTGGGGATCGCCGGTGCCCATGTCCAGCTATCTGTGCAAGGGGCGGGATACACCCTGGACAGGTCGCAAGTCCATCACAGGGACACATAGATACAAACAACCATTCACTCTTTCTCTCTCACCTAGGGACAATTTAGAGTCACCAATCAGTCTAACTGATTTTTGGTTTGTGGGAGGAAACTGGAGTACCCAGAGGAAACCCAAACACGCACGGAGAGAACATGAAAACTCCACCCAGAAAGGCCCCTGGACCGGGATTTGAACCAGGGACCTGCTCACTGAGAGGCAGCAGCTCTACCAGTTGCGCCACCGTAAGCTGCCCAGAAAATTATTTTTAACAAATAATTTAAAAAAGTCTGCATATTGATCAGATCCTTCTCAGCACAACTTTGGGACAAAAAAATTCTGTATGTGGCTACAGACATTTTCAACCCATTCTGCATTTGTGGACTGAGTTTAGAAATGTTATTTTTACAATTTGAGAAATGCCTTAAATCAGGGGTGCCCAGTACTTCAATCGAGATCTACCGGTCAATCTCAAAAGTATTATGAGTAGATGATATGTCAATAAAAAAAATTGTCGTCAGCCTATCATCCATCCTCACTATGAAATTTGTCACTTGACTGACATACTGGGCAGCCAGTCTGAGGCCTCGTTTACACGACGTGAACTGTTCGGCCATTCATTTACACGACAACAGCCCTCATTCTCTCTGAAACTGAAGGTTTTAGAATCCAGGTCTCAGAGATTTTCGGAGGAACCCCCCACAAAGGTGTAAAATGCTTTGCAAGTGTGAAGTGGCACATGCGCACTACAGACGGCTGCAGTCCAAAGGTTTTCTGCACTGACAACAGTTATAATAAAAACCAGAGAGCAGTGTTTCTGTGCTGCTCACATTTTTTCACCATGTAGGAGTAAGACTAATAAAATCCAGGGTCCAAAGAGACGTTAGTATATTCACCAGTTTTGACATAACTGTCATGCAGACACTGCATGTGCAATGAATGAAGCTGAGCCCTACATCAGGATTGCCAGATAAATTTAAAATATCTTGTTTGGGGCTGTTGGGGGCCGAGATGGGATAGAGGTAGGACAGTCGACTTGGGACCATCAAGTCGCAGTTTGACTTCCAGCCATTCCCACATATTGTGGTGTCTCTGAACAAGACACCTAATCCCCAATTGCTCCTCGTGCGCTTAGATAGCTACTGTACCTATTGCTCCACCTGGGTGTATCTCGCATGTGATGGGTTAAATGCAGAGATCTAATTTTGCCATTGTATGGGAACATACAATGATGGCAATCCCAGACTTCCCTTCCCTTATTTACCTCCTCCTTTTCTGTGCACATGTTTAACAAACGCAACATACACCTCATATTAAATGGACTGTAAATGAGCATGCATCAGGATGTAAATGGATTGTACTTATATAGCACCTTTCTATCTTATGGAGACACTCAAAGCACTTTACACTGCAATCTGTGTCCTCATTTACCCATTCATACAACACTCTACTAGATTTCTACAAAGCTAATTGAACAAATCATTCTCAAGAGACTAATCAGTGCTTTGGATCACATTCATACACTGATGGGACACACATGGGAGGCAACGAGGGGTTCATTGTCTTGCCCAGGGACACTTCAGCATGTGACTGCTGGTAGATTCAAAACCCCAACTCTTGCATTGGAGGATGACTGCTCTAACCACTCAGCCACAGCTGCCCCACTTTTTTTTATTAGAATATCTTTACTCAGCACATATGACAGTTTAGGTCAAAATACTATCATTTTAAAGCCACAGTACTATAGTTCATAATTTCTTATCTGGCAACTCGACTGAAATGGAAACTACAGTGGTCTTGTGTAAATCTGCTCATTTTTTGTTTATTACCCCCAATAAACATTGAATCAAAACTAATGTTTCCAGAGGTTGTTCTTGTGTAAGCAGGGCCTTATAGTAGGTAGATCACTTTGACTTGGTCATTTTAAAAGTAACTTGCATGTTGAAAAAGTCTGGGCACCCCTGCTTTAAATAAATGTTTGACAAAAATTACTAGTTCATCCATCATATATAAATAATTTTGTAAAACATTTCAGATGTAGTTCAGCTATTATCTGAGATTGAGTTGCCTGTGCAACTGTCTGTAACAGCAACGCTCTACCAACGCACTACCTTCAGCTTATTCAATGCTGACTCTATGGCCTTCCCAAGCCCACTGTAAGGCCTGAGTCTGCCCTGAGCAAACCTTCATGTAGGAGTTGGAAACACCTTCATTAGAATGTGTCTGAAAGGCATCTGTATTAGATGCACACTCATCTGCAGCAGGGCTCTACTCTAAGCTCCCTGTCTCATTCCTAATGCATATTTTCCATTAGTACCATTAGTACCAGCACAGCATGGTTCAATTCGGCTTGGCACAGTATGAATTGTGTTTTCATTATACTTTCAGTAACAGTTCTAGTGGGTGGGTTCAGCTCGGAGCTCACAGGAGCACACGAGGCTGGGGCCCGGAGCCCGGCCTCGCATGCTTCTGCGGGTTGGCAGCATGGAGGATCTTCCACAGTGACCGGCTGAGCTCGGAGCCGGGGAGATGATGTCCTGCCCAGCCTGAGGGGGCTCAGATGCTCCGGTGGAGAGGACCGAGGGTCCGGCTGAGCTCCACCTAGCTCGCTCTGAATTTTGTCGTTGGCCACCAAGCACAAAAAAATGGCTGTACTTCAGCATTGGACCACGGTGTTGTCCTTATTGTTTTTAAATTCTTAAAAATAGGTCCAATCGCACCTTGACTTCAAGTTATTGCAAATGGCGGATTGGGTTGTTGTGAAAGTTTCTGAAACCAGTGACTCCACCCCCTGACCAATCGGTAACTGACAGTGTTCTGATGTCACATTTTAGGGCCAGTTCGGCACGGTTGGAACCCCAGCGATCTCAAGCATTTCTCTGGGTGGGGTCTGAAAAAGGACGTGATCAAACTGCAATCACTGTGCGAGGGACGGGATAAACCCTGGACAGGTTGCAAGTCCATCGCAGGGTCACATAGAGACAAATGAGACAAACAACTATTCACTCTTACTTACACCTAGGGACAATTTAGAGTTACCAATCAGCCTAACATGCATGTTTTTGGGCTGTGGGAGGAAACTGGAGTATGTGGAGAAAACCCACACATGCATGGAGAGAACATGCAAACTTCATCAATTCAATTCAGTTTATTTATATAGCGCCAAGTCACAACAGAAGTCATCTCAGGGCACTGAACAGAAACATTCATATGTAAAAATAATAATTTAACACTATTTATCTGAGGAGCAGACTGCTTTGAATTTAACTCATTGCAGAACTCTCATCTTGAACAAGCATGAAGGCAACATTGGAAAGGAAAAACTCCCTCGTGAGGAAGAAACCTTTAGCAGAACCAGGGTCAGGACAAGTGACCGTCTGCTTTGACCGGCTGGGTTTGGTAGGAACAGCTACACAATGGCAGGTGAAGAATCACATGTTAAGATAGAAATAGTATCAAATGAAAACTATTAAATTTTACCAAATCATTTAAGGAAATTAGGTCAATTTGTCCTCTAGTAGTCTAAGCCTATAGCAGCATGACAAGCCGACCCTAATTATAGGATTTATCAAAAAGGAAAGTCTTAAGGCCACTCTTAAAACTGGACAATGTGTCAGCTTCACGAACAGAAACTGGAAGTTGGTTCCACAAGAGAGGAGCCTGATAACTGAAAGATCTGAAAGATCTTCCTCCTGTTCTGCCCACACTCTAGGGACTGCTAGATAGCCTGCAGTCCGAAAGCACAGTGCTCTGTTAGGAAAATATATAACAATAAGACCTGTAAAATAAGATGGAGCTAGGTTGTTGAGAGCTTTGTAGGTTAGAAGTAAGATTTTGAGTTCAATTCTGGATTTGACAGGGAGCCAGTGGAGAGAAACTAAAACTGGAGATATGATCTCTCCCATTAACTCCAGTTAAGACTCTGGCAGCAGCATTTTGGATCAACTGAAGATGTTTTAAAGAAGTATTTGGACACCCAGATAATAAACCATTGCAATAGTCCAGTCTAGATGTGACAAATGCATGGACCAGTTTTTCTGCATCAATTTTAGATCAGATGTTTCTAATGTTAGTGATATTACGCAGGTGGAAGAAGGAGGTTCTAGTAATGTTTTTAATGTGGGGGATAAAAGACATGTCCTGATCAAAAATAACATCAACATTTTTAACATTAGAGCTGGAGGACAGATTAATGCATCTAAGGAGGGAGAAAGACTGAAAAATTAATTCCTAAGATGCTCATGTCCAAAAACTACAACCTCAGTCTTGTCTGTGTTCAAAAGCTGAAAATTTAGGGCCATCCAGGTTTTTATGTCTTTAAGACATGCTTGTAGTCTGAGTAGCTGATTGGATTCATTGGGTTTCATGGACAAATACAGGTCCTTCTCAAAAAATTAGCATATTGTGATAAAGGTCATTATTTTCCATAATGTAATGATAAAAATGAAACTTTCATATATTTCAGATTCATTGCACACCAACTGAAATATTTCAGGTCTTTAATTGTTTTAATACTGATGATTATGGCATACAGCTCATGAAAACCCAAAATGCCTGTCCCAAAAAATTAGCATATTTCATCCCACCAATGAAAGACAAGTGTTTTTAATACAAAAAACACCAACCTTCAAATAATCATGTTCAGTTATGCACTCAATACTTGGTCGGGAATCCTTTTGCATGAATGACTGCTTCAGTGCGGCGTGGCATGGAGGCAATCAGCCTGTGGCACTGCTGAGGTGTTATGGAGGCCCAGGATGCTTCGATAGCGGCC